ATTCCTTAGATGTTTACATATTGTTTCATGAGAGATATGCAATTTCAGGGCCATTTCCCGAGTGTGTTGTCTTGGGTTAGACTCAACAAGCGTCTTCAGAGCATCAAAATTAATTCCAACATGTCGGACCCTGCCATCGTAGTTTTAAGGCTAAAGTCACCTGAACAAAATTTCCTGAACCATCGTTGACACTTACAAACGTTCTAAACATTTCCATAAACTTCTTTGATATTCTTTGTGGCTACAGAGGTGTTGTTTTCCTTCTTGTATTCAAACAACATTACATGCCGAATGTGTGTCTCGTCGTGTGTCATCACTATAAGGGATAAGAGTATACTAAATTTTACGCATTATATAGGCTACACTAACGTGACGTTTAGGTGGTTCGTTTAACTATTATACGTGAAGTACGTTTTTTTTAAAGTGTTCCAAAACGCGACGTTAATTTCTTGACGACCTAATATATATATATATATATATATATAAACTTGTCTTCACCATATTCTGCTGCCATCTATTGTCACTTATATTTATTACAGTTTCTAGGTATGGTAATTTTAAAATCAGTATGTTGTACCGTAAAGAAATCTTAGTATAAGTATGAAATTAATGTAACCGAAATTTCAAGGTTATATATTTCTTAGTGTGACATATACTTTCTGTTTTTATCGCAACTGGAGCATTGTATGGTGTAGTGTTTTAAAATATGCTTTCCCTCTGAAATTTAACTGAAGAGCAAGAAAGCCTCAAATTGTTTTTCGTGATAAATTAAGGCGTATGTTTCTAAGCATAAGTAATACAGCATGGGTAAGCTGATGGTCGCAGACAGTAATTTAGCAGTTATTATCAACACCCGGGTGTTAATGCAATCCGGTTATTACGTCTAAGTAGAGTCACACCCTCGATAGTCACATGATAAACCAAGCAGAACTGTGACAACAACAAACACAGCTGAAAGTTTGTAGAAATTTGTCCTATGAAACATTCCTATCATACATAAGAGGGAATCCTCAATAGTCTCGGGCGTGGTCAAACACATCAATCGAAAGAGTTTGTCCTCCTGAGTCGAAAACTGTAATTAGATCTCAAATCGGTTAATAGTTGACGGAGCTATGAGCTAAAAGTTTGTACTTGAAAAAAAAAAAAAAAAACCTAGAGCTGTTCTTTGAGCCGCTCATCCGCGACTAATGAATAGCTTTAAACTTTGTTTTTGTAAAAACAAGTATGATAAATGTTAAACCAGAGGGAGTCCTCAATGGCCGCGGCTGTAATTAGATCTCAAATCGATCAAGAGATGGAACTATGAGCTAAAGCGTTTCAGAAAAAAAAAAGAGTAACGAAACAACATTACAACTCACTTATACTTAATTACACAATGAATCTTTGTTATTCATGAGGGTTACTGAACGTTTATAACGCGCTCTTTATTTCTTTACGTAATTCACTAGATAAATAGATTCTGAATTGTATTACAACTTAGCGTTAGCGATTACTTGACAGTTTCATGAGGATGAACCTAAACTACAAACTGAACTGATTTTATTTACTCAAAATGAGCTGATTTTCATGTATAATCAAACCAGAGTCAACTAACTATATCTTCTTGGATCCTTCATCTCTTATTATCCAATTTATTACCGACGCAGATTTCTTTTTTTATTATTATTGTTTTACTGGGCTTACGACGCTAAAATTCGAGTTTAGATACGTGTGTTAGGCGGACCACAGCTTTGTAGCTTTGTGATTAACAAAAAAAGAGAGAGAGAATATACTGTGATGTCCCATTGTTTCACCATTTACTATTATTATGAATTCAACTATAATATGATGTCCCATTGTCTCACCATTTACTATTATTATGAATTCAATTATACTGTGATGTCCCATTGTTTCACCATTTACTATTATTATAAATTCACGTATACTGTGATGTCCATTGTTTCACCATTTACTATTAGTATAAATTCAACTATACTATGATGTCCCATTGTTTCACCATTTACTATTATTATAAATTCAACTATACTGTGATGTCCAATTGTTTCACTATTTATTATTATTATGAATTCAATTATACTGTGATGTCCCATTGTTTCACCATTTACTATTATTATGAATTCAATTATACTGTGATGTCCATTGTTTCACCATTTATTATTATTATAAATTCAATTATACTGTGATGTCCCATTGTTTCACCATTTACTATTATTATGAATTCAATTATACTGTGATGTCCATTGTTTCACCATTTACTATTATTATAAATTCAACTATACTGTGATATCCCATTGTTTCACCATTTACTATTATTATGAATTCAATTATACTGTGATGTCCCATTGTTTCACCATTTACTATTATTATGAATTCAATTATACTGTGATGTCCATTGT